TTGCCTATTAGAATGTTACCAATGGAGTCCTAAGGTGAAAACGAACTCCTTTTGTCTACACAGTAGCGGTTTTTTCGTGCTTATGTAGATAGATTCTAAAACTGCTAGGTGGAACGACGATCGGGCTTTACCAATAATCCGAAACATGTCGCCATTATAGTTTTTTGCACAAACTGGGTTTTTCTAGCAAATGCTGCCCGATAGCAGAATCGCAGGTCTTATTAGTAAGTTTTGGATTTGCAAGACCGAGGTGGCTGTTCTCTTTGGGATGTGTTTGTTTTCTAATATTAGATGGAACGTGTTGTTTTATCCTATCCTCCAATCTTTGGGTGGTGCGTCCTACGTAGCCAGAATCACACTGGCACGTGAATTCATACACAACAGAACTTTTTTTGTGGCAGGGACGCAGTCCTTTTGAATGGACGGAAGGGCCTTTTTGTACTGTAAACAACACGGGGGTTAACCGCGAAGAAACAATTTGTTATGGCCTGTTTTATTTGGCTTTCAAAACGTAGGGAGCGTTACCGATCCAGGGTAGTTTTAGATAGAACCGGGCACTTTTGAGGACCAATTTTACGTCAGCGAGAAAATTTCCTATCTTTCTCCTTAATGTAAACTGAAATAACATGTTCTGGATAGCCGTTCTCCAGAAAAAATCTTAGTTAGTTTTTCAAGTTCCGAGTCGAGTTTAGACTTGAACAAATCATCAGTGCCCTATGTGTGAGCGTTTTTGATGAGGCTGATTTTCACATCCCCACATCCCCAAAGAGAACAGCCACCTCGGTCTTGCAAATCCAAAATTACTAATAAAACCTGCGATTCTGCTATCGGGCAGCATTTGCTAGAAAACCCAGATTGTGCAAAAAATTATAATGGCAACATGGTTCGGATTATTGGTAAAGCCCGATCGTCGTTCCACCCAGCAGTTTTAGAATCTATCTACATAAGCACGAAAAAACCGCTACTGTGTAGACAAAAGGAGTTCGTTTTCACCTTAGGACTCCATTGGTAACATTCTAATAGGCAAGCGGCACTGATTGGTCAACCTTTACAGTCATGTGCTCGTGTTTCTGGATGGCCTATTTCGATCCACAACTGGGTATATATATTTCTTAGCGTAGAGTTTTCGATCTATGTTCTGACGTTTTAAACTCTGAAGAGTGTCAGACGAAAAGCTTTAGTTTACTAAATGTTTGCTTTTTTCAAAGCTATTTAATAAGCTTTATGTTACACTGGACATCACTTTGACAGCCTACCCTCGGTATAATTCTGTCCTTTTTCTCCTGTTTGAGAAAGTCAGGACTCACACAAAACAGAACAATAAATACTTTATACCTTAAAGGCAGTGACTTTGAAAGTAGGAATGGGTGCTGGGGGAGAGGGGGGGGCTGAGGAAGCTTTGTCTTGCCCGACCAAAAAAACAGTACAAAAAGTCGCTTTCTCTTGGTTTTTAGCACCTTTAACATCCTCCAAAAAAACGTTTAAGCCCCCTCAATCTGTAATTATTCTGCAATTCTTGGGAAAAAGTGTTAACCTGCTGAATGCTGCGAACTGAGTTCCACATTCACAAGATGGCAATAACAGTTTTCTGTTCCTTTCGAAACCTCATAATAGCGTCAAATTTTTAAGGAAGTTGTTACTTAGATCTGTGTTAAGCAACTTCGGTTTGTTTTGACATATCTTTTACTTGAATACTTTTTTCGCAACTAGAGGGATATTCATTTTTAGAGATCGCATGTATGAAGAACAATTCCTCAAAGTTTGTTCTTAAATTTCCTTCGTCAATGATGGCATTACAAGACAATATTGTTCATCACAGCTAACTACCAACTACCTTCTACCTTTTCTTGAGCAAATGTTAATTGCTTTTATGAAGATGATCCACTGTACCTACTTTTTTAAAGCCTACTTTCTAATCCAAACAGATGCAGATTAACATAACATTTCTATTCTCCAGTTATGTTTCTACATGTTTCTCTGCCTATTCATTAGCTTTTTCTTTTCAGGGGCTTACAATGTCGATGACGCAATCACGAAGGCCAACCCCCGCCATGCAACTGCGCCTTTTAAATCGACTACGGAAAGAGGGATGTTGCAGAACATCAACTCTTATCCCGGTCCTGGCTCATACCGCCCTTTCGAGCCTCAGGCAATACCGGATCGAAAACGCCTACCGTAAGTTCTTGATTAATAGCTTTCGATACTTGCTTGATAAATTTCGCTCAGCTTCACAGTTTACCAGTAACAAATAACCCAAGCATTTTCTGTTTCAGCTCATTGCCAATGGCTTAACACATTTAGGGCACCTAAATTCGATAGCTAAGGACGCTCGACCAACAGCGGCCCCCAAATGATTTCTATATCAATGTTTTTAAAACTTTTTTCATGTTCACCTCATTTTTGAAATTTTTTTACAGTTCTTCAGTTAATGCTTTTATAGCTCAGCTTCCTCTATTTGACAAAAATTACAATTTTTGCATCTGGCTTTTGTGTTTGATGTGCTCTGCGATGTTGGATGGTACTTTCTTGCAGTCCGTAAATAGGGGGGCCCGTGTCAGTGTTTTCCTTGGGGCCCCAGATGCCTACATTACGACACTGCTCATTGCCATCAATATAATATAGAGTTGCTAACATCTGTTGAATAGCAAATCGCATCAAATACTAGCAATTTTGCAGAGAATTTGAGCTTATGCCTATGAATTTTATTTAGCTGAAAATAGTTCGGATATACGAGTGTATATTGCTAGGCAATTACATCTATTTTTTCTTAAAACATATTGCATCTAGTGCAACTATGGTGTACTTTCGTGTGCAAACTAATAACAGTTGTAAAGAAGTTAAACTTTCTTTGGTTAAAAGATATCGTGTATCAGTTTTGATAGAACGTATAAAGTTTTAAAAGCTAGTATTAGCTGTAAGTTATGAGCAGTGGCGTACCCAGGGCTGCAGAAGTGGGGGGTCTGGGGCACAGCCCCCAGAATTTTTTTGGACCACGCCCTTCAAACACTCTCGAATGCGGGGAAACGCCCTTTTTGCAAAATTTTCCCTCATTATTTGATTCATGTTAGCTATGGCAAAAAGCAAAGCATTTTACAATTGTTATTGACAGAAGCATACAGTATACTCCCCCCCCCCCCCAATGAGTTTTATATCATTTTTGAACAAATCTTGAGGACCATAACAATACACTCTATAAGAAGCAACATAAATTGACATGTAATTGTCTAGACTAGCATCCAGTCCTATTACACTAGGTGGGGGAGGGGGGGGGTTGCGCGGTTTGGATTGGTGCTAAAGTTGCTCAAGCTCGATTCTGATTCGTTGTAATCTTATGAAAAAACTGGGAGGCGTTTGGTAGTTTGAGGTACTTTTTACAGGTAAGCTTCTTGGTACGTCTTATCTAGGTATAATAGTAGACATAAGAACAGGCATAAGAATTAATCTAAGCGACATCTTTGAGCTCAAAATGTTGTAGACCCGCCATTTCAGTCTTTGACAAAACAGACCGTTTGTCCACCCTTGTGCAGTTTTGCGGCCCTTGCAATTTATTTATTATACTAACGGCTTTGATATGCTGTTATCTAAGAGGGATTGTTAATTTACAATTACGGAAATCTTGTTAACTTTTAATTATGGTAGTTGTATTGATGCGCCCTTTAAGCCTACAAGCCTCATTTTAAAGAAAAGAAGTAAAAACAAGTATTTGATAAGACTGATTTGATATGTTGTTTGCCTTTAGGAGACAGCATTACCTGTGCATCTCAGCACCCGCTATGCCACTACCCCCTTCACCACCGCTACCTGGACCTGGCCATTACAATCTTGTCAACTACGAAGGTGAACCGCGCAGATATGTCACAAGCTCAGTATTCGTTTCAACCACCAACCGTCTGATGGGCCAGGAACTACAAGACAATGAGTCTGAACCAGGCCCAGGTGAGAAAACGATTCTTATTCCATTGCTTTCTGTTCCTGTTTTTATGTGAAGAAGACAAAAGCTAAAACATTATTACTATCTTAAAGGCAATCTGTCACGACGTTGATTGGTTATAAGAATAAAGGGATTTTTATTGTTTCCAGTCCCCCTTTAATTTAGCGCATTGTAAAAAATATGGCGGAACGCTGGAATCGTGTTTAGGCCATTGTTCCAGCTATTGTTCTCGTTAACCAATCCACAACGAGACAGATTGCCTTTAAAGGCAGTCTGTCCCCTATGGTGCTCAATTTTTTATTTTAACGGGAGTGAAATTCACGCTCCACTGAGCTTGATCGATAATTAAACGATTTAAACCAATCAGGGACAACTTTGATTCCAGAGCTTTTGAATCAAATGGCCGTGTTTCCGTTGAAGTGAAGCTGTGGCTAGAAAAATTTGCTTCCCTGTTTGGTTTCTGCGACAGATATGTCAAAAGGGAAAATAAATGCTTCCATTATCATCATTCAATTCCAGCAATTAAACCTTCTTTTCATTTCGATAGCCTTTTTGCTCGCAGTTTCAAATGTCGTCCATTACCACAGCTAGGCCAGCCAAAGCGAGCAGCGTAATTCGTTAAGGCGGGATAAGCTATAGTTCATATTAGCCAATCATTGAGGGGACATATTGCCTTTAAGGCTTCCAAACTTCACCAATGTTTTTCAGTGCTCATTGTGTCTGATCTAAGGGGACAAGAGCTACTAGTAGCAGCTAGGGACAACCTACCTCTTTCCCAAGCGAAGATAAAGAGCACGTCGGAGTTTAGAACGAATCTCTAGGTAATGACTGGAACTATCGTGAGGAGAACTACAAGATCAGCATTTGCTTGTTTCCTTTAAGAATATAACTTTTAGTTTCTCAGCTTAATTTGTCACAGAGACAACTATGCAAAGTCATACCCAAATGTAAAAAGATAATTCCAGGAAAAATCTTCCTTAGTGTATATAGCATCTATGCATGATAATAAATTCTTTTTATAAGAACCAGTAAATCGAAGTTCAGGTTGGCTGTTCTTAATTTCTGAAAAAACCCCTGGCTGGATTGTTCTTAATTTGTTCTTGAATAATCAGCGCGTAAGCAGTACAATTGATTTTTTTTTACATTTTGGATTTAAATGTACAACAAAAATTTATTAGTTACATTACCTACAAAATACTTAACGACACTACAAGGACGATGCCACTGGGTGCAAAATACAATGACTACTCTGTGGCATCACGAGAAACTAAGACAACTTACATATGAATTACCAAAGGTAAAAACAACAAAGAACACTACACTCTCTCTCAAATTAGATATCAAGCGAAAGAAATTGCAAATTCTTTTCTATTTTAGCAACGTACAATCCCCAAAGCATTGGAAAACAATCTTTTATATACAACGTAGAGAGCAAATGGATATAGGCACTGGTAAACAGCTAAGAGATACGAACTGACAGTTCTTGAGTGTGAAAGATAGATTGGTATGTGAAAACTCGAGAATCTTACTGTTTATAACTACTTTTGCAGAAGTCTTTTATGACTTGACAAGAATTAAGAATTTTGAATAGATTTATTCAAAATTCCCTTCCATTATTTTTTATGTGAATATAGTAACTATATAAATTAGTATGTTAGCTTTGTAAATATTGTAAGAATTATTTACATAATTGTTAAAATGTGTCGATTTTGCAAGAAATAGACGTTCAGCAAAGGGAACTTTTTCTACGAATAGCAATGGCCTAATCTGGGAGAGCTTTAAATGAATCACGGCCTTAGACCCGTTACCATGCGTGCTATTTTGGCCCGGATGGCTAGGAGCATATCTGAAGAGTGGTTTTGGAGTGTGTGAGCCCCTGGTTCCTAATTAGCTGAGTGGTAAAATCTTCAGCTTTTTTTAATCTATTGGTAGTAGATAAAATAAGAACATAATTTTCCCCTGCGTAACATCACATTGCATACCGGCTTTGGTGATGTGTAAGAAATAGTTGCAAGGCAAAAATTTTCATCAACAGTTTGACATTTTATTCAATAAAAGCATGACTTTCCTACAAAAAACTTTGCTCTTTACAGTCCAACAGTCCAACTTCATTTTGCCCTACCAAAATAATGTTTATATACCCAAGGCCAATGCACACTTGCATGCTTGTTGCTTTGGCTTAAATGTTATCTTACTCAAGCCCTTTCTCGATTTCGACAAAATTTGCACTTTGCGTAGCTTGAAACGTTTTACGAGTTATTTAATGCCAGCATTTGGCTGAAGCAGCCTCGCAGATGACGAATAAAATGGATAGAGGAATAAATCCTTTCATTTCATTTCATTTTCAGTTATTTAAGCATGGTAGCCCATTCAGCCATGCAGGCCTACACGGGGCCATACATCTAACATAAGAAAAACTTGAATAAAGTAAAATAACATACATATTTACAATGGATCTTAAAATATTACAATACAATGCACAATCTGCTCGGGCTCTAAGTTATCCCTCCCAACCCAATTTTTGATACTCTTAACAATAATTTCTTTTCTATTTACCCTTTTGACTCATAATCAAAGGTGTACCGGTGGATGTCTCTGTCCAGACATTTATGAAGATATTTTCTGCTCCTTGCCCCCTTTTATCCCTGGGAAGACCCGAACTGTCCGGTCTGTGCTTCAGTTTCTGGTTTTATGCTCAAGTCTCTCTGCCCTGTAAGTAATTGCTCTTGCTTTGCTTGTAGAAAGCCATATTCAGACATATCGGATTTTGTTCATTTAATCGGATTCTCCGTTGTGGTGTTTTGGCGGTATTTTGACTGAGTAGCTGTTCCTAAACACGTTAAAATAAGCTCAATGACATTTCCTTTTGAAGCCACTTTCTCATGATCCTAACTTCTTTCGAACATCAAAAGCTACAAAATCTCTTATCCCTGCAAATCCGGGTTAAGTACACCACTGTAGGTCTTTCCTTCTTTCCTAGGCCATTTACTATCACAGCTTGTCTTGAATGATAACATTCTATATAGTCAGGCAACAGCGTACGACGCAGAATCATTTCATTGATTGTTTTCTCCACGCAAATAAGTTGCAATAGTCCATAGTAGTAAAAGTTTGTTTGTACGATGCAAGTTACTCCATAATTGCATCGTGTGAACAAGAATATTTTTTCTTATCGATCTCAATTAAAGCTAAAAATTGAGGTGGACCTGGGATTGGGGATAACACTTGTTTGCTTTCACAAACGCACCTACAACTGCTCAGTGTATTTATTTAGATTTTATTAGCGTTTAACTCTCGGGTGCTCTTTTATGAGAAGGCATTCTTTGCAACAATTGCCAACCCAAAACCAGGCACCGCACAGCCATCGGGCTAGCATGAGCCCCCCAACTTTTTTTGCAATAATAGGTTAGAAGTTTGTTAGAAAATTTACTCTAATGCAAACTTTGAAAGTTTACGCTAACGGATCCTAAGTAGTAGCATCTCTTCTTGACTGGGAACCCTTTTCTGTTCACTTTTAGGTGTCTTATCTTGTTAAATATATTTCTTTAGTAATTGATATCCTCTCTGAATCGGATTGCTTATAAAAGGTAGGGGGAAAGAAGTATTTACTGAAAGGGACGTTTCCCGGTGCTCTAAAGAGCGTGGTCTAAAAAAATTCGGTCACGCCCATTTCAGCCCATCAACTTTTAGACTGGTGAACGGTGCCTGCCCAAAGTTCTAGCTGGAAGAACATAAGGCCGGTTACCCCCAAAATGCTGGGGACGCTAAATAAAGAAAAATGATTTCACAGACTGCAGTGCCCGGAGACGGCGAGGGAGACGGTGTCACGAAGTAGATCATCTCTCCTGCTTTGGTGTAAAAATGCGACCTTCTACCATTTTCTTCCTTTTTAAAGTCTTATACTCATAATCAATTGCCCCTACTAATAGAATCAGTAAGTTGTTAAGCCACGATTTGAGGCAGTTCATTTATTTTAAGTACACATATGAATTGTAAAGTTCTCGTAACTGTTTGCTTTCCCTCGCCCGTCGTAGAAGTTTCAATCCAACAGGAATTTTGATTATTTCCATTTATTACAGATGAATCATTCGGAACCAGATGAATCATGCTTTTTCGGCTCTAGCATCGGTATCAGGGATCCACGCCAAGAATTTGAAAATGGAGGGGGGGGGCAAGGCTAGCAAAAGTGGGGGGCCAAGGCTTCTTTACCTTTTTACTGCAACTTTAAAACAACCTGAGTTCTTCAGCATTGAACTAGCTTCCCAATCCCTCTACCGGTAGACATTTCTGTTGTATTCCATCGATGAATTGTTTTTGGATTCAATATTCTTTCAGTAAGAACCATTATTCATAAGTTTGTGACCAACATACTTGCGGTCGATTTTTATTTAAAAACTCGAAGCATTTCCTATAATATTTCTAAACTTAGCAAATTCTTTCTAGATTAATCTATTCATAATGTGGCTTGCTGTCAATTTGGTTTAGGTTTGCCTGTACTCTGTTTTAATGCCATTTTGTGTAGCCAAATGCATCTGCGACGGTCATTTCACAAGGGAAGTGTCACCATTCACATCCTTAAGGTTTATGTTCTGCCTTCTGGTGTATCTGTAGCAGCCCTCGTATGAACTGATAGAGGAGGTATATGGATGTCCTGCTCTCTCGGCAATCCCCCCCCCCCCCCCATGGTTAGTTTCTCGATAGCCACTGGATACAGAATTCAATTTCTAAGCAATTATTCAAGATTTGAATGTAGCCAGAATTGAATGTCTAGATTTTTGTTATGTGAAGGAAATTCTTAAATCATCAAATCACTTCACGAAGTATTCTTTGCCAAATTGTTATCCCTCCTCGATCACTTTTGTTGGGCTAAAGCGAAATTCAAAATCGATTTTGCTGCTACTAGGGAAAGCAGGGGGGTTAAATAGGCGTAGGAGACGCCCACATCTCGTTGCACCGCCATTAGACACCGTCGTTTTCTTCCTAGTGTATCCATAGCGTATTGCGTTTGTTTAAACTTAACAGTTCGTACACATGCTCTTATTTTCGCCTATAAGTACCAGGTTTTTTTCAAAATAGCCGCATATATTTTATAAAGAAGGTCGTTATAATCAAAATCCCTTCAATTTCAAGAGTATGGATCTTTGTTCCCAGCCGTGTCTCAAAGTCGTGTTGTTTACAGTGGAATATATTTGCTATCGTTCAGGCATGTAAAAATTTTTGATTTGCTAATGGATGAATTCTCTGCATGGCCTACGTAGTGTAAACGCAAATCAGTCACGTCCTACACGGATGCGAGGTGGACTCAGCTACGTGCACCAGTAACACATAAACCAGATATGCGTTTGACGCACTTTGGCAAGGAGACTCTAAGTGCTCTTGTAAAAAATGTGCAAATATTTTCACAACACAAGTGCTGTTTCATTGATATTTTTGACTTGGCAAACTTGGTATTCCATTAGCTTTTCGAATCACAAATAGATTTTCCGCAGAGACTGTAGCAAATGTTTGTCAGTAAATCCGGGGATGACGCGCTTCCTGAACCTAGAAACAGTTGTGAGAATAATCAAATTGGTTGCGATTTTCCCTATTTTTCTCTTTTTATTAGGTATCTCGCATAAAAACCCTGCCAAGTGCAAGTCGTGTATATTTCTCGGGCCTAATGCTCGTCCACAGAAAAAATATGGCGTACGAATCAGGTGGCCAGAGACACGTGCTTTCACCTTTTTCCAGGCTCCAGCTGAAAGTATTCTACCCCTTTGTTGGTGCAAGAACCCTTAGTGCATCGTTTGTTAACCAATGTCAAAAATTAGGTCACTACAATATAAAGATACATAACATCTTATAGATATTGCAGATAATGGATTACTACAGTACTACAGTATTAAAAGTAATCGACAGATGCCATCTGCCAACAATATTAGCCAATCAATGAGCGTGTGAGTAGAATCACATTCACTGATTGGCTATATCTTGATTGAATGATGGTTTAAGCCTGTTTGGTAAAAATTCAGGCTTCAACGAATCTGGCTTGTGTCCCTTCTGCCTCTCTCTATTCTGTGCTATCTATTAAGCTGATAAAGTGCCCCCGCCCCTTTTCAGTGGGCCCCTTGCACACGACAGTTACTTAACAGAAAGCATTATTGAGGAAATATCCAACTTTAGCAGAAAAAAGCTAAACTGATATCCGCAATGTTCAACAATTGAATAAGTCTGTTTTTTATAAGTTCTTTCAATTCAACAGTTGGCTTTCAGTTAAAATTTCAATGTATTATAGGTTGGTTATATCAAATTTTGCATTTATAATTTTGCAATAAAAACATTAAATTTCATATATACATTTCAAACATTTCAATGTGGTTTTATTCTTAGAATTTACAATTTTCTCAGAAGTGACGTAAACTTATTTCTATAAATATATGCAAAAAGCATCCTTTTTTAGAACGTTTCATCCTACCTATGGGAAAATTTACACCCATTGCCTAGAGTTATCTAAAGACAAACAAACTGAAGGCACAGAAAACCCCGTATTGCAGAGGAAGTACCGGTTTTGGATACAAATGTCTATAAATATATGCAAAAAACATCATTTTTTAGAACGTTTTATCCTACCTATGGGAAAATTTACACCCATTGCCCAGAGTTATCTAAAGACAAACAAACTGAAGGCACAGAAAACCCCGTATTGCAGAGGAAGTACCGGTTTTGGATACAAATGTCTATAAATATATGCAAAAAACATCATTTTTTAGAACGTTTTATCCTACCTTTGGGAAAATTTACACCCATTGCCCAGAGTTATCTAAAGACAAACAAACTGAAGGCACAGAAAACCCCGTATTGCAGAGGAAGTACCGGTTTTGGATACAAATGTCTATAAATATATGCAAAAAACATCCTTTTTTAGAACATTTTATCCTACCTATGGGAAAATTTACACCCATTGCCCAGAGTTATCTAAAGACAAACAAACTGAAGGCGCAGAAAATCCCATATTGCAAATGAAGTACGGGTTTTGGATGGAAATGGCCAACCTGTGATTCAAATAGAAGAGAAGAAAACAGTTGGGTTAAAATAAGTCATCCGTTCACTTCTGAAAGGCGATTGTCCCCTTTGTTTTTAGGAACAGGTTTTTAAATCGATGTGGAAGCAAACGTTTGGGAATTTTTTCTGATGATGACAAGTATTTGAATTATCCTTTCATCTTATCGATGACGTCATTGGCTTGTGTCGAGGTGGATCCTAACGCCAGTCACCAATGGTTCATGACCACTGATCCTTTATGACCTTTATGATTACAGTCAGTTTTGTCAAGTTATTTGATTAGAAGAGGATTTGTAGCTGATACATAAATAAACCTACACCCTTTTTTGAATTAGAGCCAGTAAATTTAGATTCAGGGTGACAGTTTTTATTTTTCACAGATGCTGGGGCTTGGTTCTTAGGGTTTAGATTAAAGAAGATTAGACACACGACATATTTAATCGAAACCGCATTGGATGTGTATAATGCATGTATTGTTTTCTAGGCCGGAGCCCTCTTGTTAATGCTGAAAAGTAGCAAATTTACACTTTTTGTAATTGCTTTTTGAGAAAATTATTTCAAGTGTCCTCATTGTTCTTTTTTAAGCACTATATCCAGTGGAGTAGCTGAGGCACCTGAGTCCTTAAGGGAAAACACTGAGATGAGGACCTTATTTATTGACTGCAAGAAAGTCCTATCCATCTTTGTCAAACACGATAGCAAAAAGTATGAATGAGAACATTTATTCGTTAATTAGGAAGAGTTTGATTTATAGAAGCTTCAGCTGACGAAATTTGAAAGTTTTTGGAATTAAGGTGAACTTGAGCGAAGTTTTAAAAACATGGACATAAATATAATTTGGGAGCCCTTTTGGGTCGGGGCGCTTAACTGCGTTACGCCACTGACTACGCCCCTGTTTCTGATACAGTACCATACCAACTGCTACCCGTTAAATTTGATCACATGCATTTAGAGTTCAAAAAGTTTATCATTAGCGTGTTTGTGATGAATTGGCGAAAGTCTTCGGTGACAGCAAGTTATTCTAAATTTAAAACATTTTCTCATGTGCTTCATTGAAGACTTCCCACAAAAACGTTATAGATGTCATATAAGGATAAGTTTGGCCAATTATTAGCTGCAAAGGCAACGTCGGCTTGGATCATCATTTCGTGTGGTTGCCATAAAGTAAGAATTACTAATATCATGTGTTTCAACGGAGATAGCAGGAATACGAATTCTTTTACAACCAAATACAAGTTTGCAATGACTTTTCTCATTTTTTGCTCATCAAAAGTTCAAGATTATTCTTGTAGATTCTTGACCAAATAGTTTTAAAATTTAAATGACTTGCCATTATTGTTTATGGTTAAGTAAGTGAATTATTCAAAAATGGTACGAAAGAGTTTCTTGTTTTCCACCGAGAGGCCACCCCACCATCTTGTCCACCGTAAGGTGCCGTAGCTTCTGCAGTTTAAGCTGAGAAGTAAGAAATAGCAGCAAAATAATCTGCTCTGAGGTGTCAGTTGTTCCTAACGGTAGAGAACTCGAAAATATTATAAAAAGTAGCTAGTTTGTTGCCAATAGAGTGGATTATTCAGGATAACATTGAATTAAATGTGCAGTAGGGTAACTATCTAAACGATTAAGATAGATTTAATTTCAACTTGTTATTCGTGCCACCACAGAGCGAGGGCCGCGAAATTGGACTTGGGGGGGGGGGGGCTGTTCCCGACAAGCAAGACAAATTTTGAAACTGAGCCTTCTTTAACGGCTAAAAATGCATCTCCCAGGCTGAAATTTTGCAAATTACTATACCGCTCAGAATTCAATTCGATTCAACGAAAATACTTGAGACAATTCGACGATTCTCAGAAAAACATTGATTATTGATTTTGAGGAAAAATTTAGGGACGGGAGGAGTCATGTTGGGGAAAGAAAGAAAAGATGGCCTTTGGTTTAGAGTATCAAGGTTAATGACAAGAAGCTACTGTATTGATTGAGAGAATTTTACTTCTTGAACAGAAATGTGCATCTTCTTTGTCTCAAGTATTTTCAGTAGGCCATGTTTACATATCCATAATGCAGACATTCAATGATGCAGAAATTTATTTACTTAATTGATGCAAATAATAGATAATAATGGAAATATACCTTAGCAAGTTAGTAAAAAGATTAAAGAAAATCAAGCAGTATATAAACAGTTTGTTCTCTTTTTATTTCATGCAGTGTTTTCAAAAATAAAAGAAGACGGTGAAAAGATTGTATGTCTGCAAAAGTGGGGGGGGGGAGGGGAGGGGCTCACCCAGTGGCGCTGTGTCTGTAAAATTCTGTGCCGTCAGAACGAGATTCATGATATAGGGCTGCCCATTGTTTTGCTCCCATTCAGATGGAAAGCAATACAATTTGCAGCTCCTACAAAATGAATTTCATTCCGAGGGCACTGTAAATTATTCATATACTATAGATAAAACTTCAGATTAGAAAAAGAACATTGAACCAAAGTACATAAGTAAAATAGCATCAGCAAATTGTTTGCCACAATTGGGGCTAGAGCCTAGAGGGGGTAAGATGCCGTAGATCCTTGAATTAGCCCCCTGGGGGCTTATTTATTTCTGATATTCTTGAATGGGGCTTATTCGAAAGAGGGGCTTTAACGAGGGGGGGGGACTTATAAATTGTTGTAGACATTGGGAAGACTTGGTTAACCTCGTTTATTTTAGCAGAAATTTCTTTATGAGCATTTAATTAATTTTTACCAAAAGTATGAATTTTTGAGGTAATTCAAGAAAACGCCAAAGACAACCTCAGATGGCAAAAATCATCAAATTTAAGTGGGCCAATTCAAGGATTTACAGTAGCAGTTGGAGCTTATTCGAGGGGGGGAGGGCTTATTGACAATTTGTACTTCTAGGTTGGGGGCTTATTCAAGGGGGTGCTTTTTCAAGGGGGGGGGGCAATTCAAGCATTTACGGTAAATCTTTCTTTACATTGGTGGTCCCTCCAGTCAAGGATCATTAACGCAGGCCCTATTGTTTCAGTGTGCGTGC